AATTTTTCTCATCCTTTCTGCATAACAATCCTGGCTGAGGATTCAATGTCCAAGGCTGCTATTTGTGTGGAAGTCATTAATTGGATAAGCCATGATCCCATGTTTGGGTTCTGTTTAATACCTAAATTTTTTTATTTTCATGAAAAACGAAAGGTCAGCTCCAGTGGATCTTATTTCTGAGATTTCTCTTTTAAAAAACTAATGACTGGTCATCAACTTTGTTTCTGTGGGTACAAACTAATTGATACGTTAGACAGATTGTTGAGATGGGTTGATTGGGCAGAAATGTTACTTGCATACGTAGCGTTTGAATAATTAAGGACAATTCAGAGGATATCTATGATGTTCAGCTTTGTGTTTAATTTGTGTCATGCCATTACCTATTATATTAAACAACTTCAGGTCGCTTGGCTAATGCCTGTATGTAAATTGGATATAAAATGCTCTTAATTTCTTCAGATATGAACTGCTGGAAATTTAAGTGTGTTTGGCTATCCATTTCTAAAGCCAGTTTGCGTTGGTAAATCCACTTTCTTGAAAGCAACTTCTTTTTGCATCTGCAAAAACAAGTTTTGGGTTGATATTTCATTTGGAATAGTTTGAGTCACCCAAACGAGCATATATCAAAACTAGGTTGTAGAAAGTCACTTGGAGCCCTCTAACTGGATAGCCAAACACACACCAAGTCCCTAGCATATTTGATTTTCCACCCTCCCTTGGGGGAAAACAAATATAAGTATTTGGATTGTACACTTTTAATCAGTTCACACTATGATGAATTATTTTTTTCATGCTGGTGCCGGTTGAAATTGTGATGTCAAGATCTCAATGATCATTCACTGGATAGGTTGCTCGAGTTTGTTTTTTTTTTCCCCTTGCTCTCGTTTTTTTTTATTGTTATTTATCTTGGTCAAATTTTTTTATTGAATACAGTCATGACTCTTGGGCCTTTTTACTCATTCTTCTTCACCCCCTTTTCCCAGATATATAATTATAAACTTTTTTTCAGCATTTTAGCCTTAAGTGAGGTCCTCATCTCAATAGAGCGCCTATATTATGAGTTCTTTGAATTAGCTACTTCTCCTCCAGCCGTTTGTTAATTTTCCATCCATTCAGGATCCTATTTAACTATATTGGATTCATCCTCCTTCCCTAACACCAAATAAATTGCTGCGTCTTTTCACTATATCATCTGTGTATGTTGCTGTACCTAAAAATAAATTACTTGCTTAAAAGAATTGAAATGAAATGAAAATAATTCATGTCGTTTGTACTAATGGAAAATTGAAGTTTGGGCTGCTACAAGAATTCTTTTATGACATTTGTCTGCAAATGTCACTGCAGTATCAAAGCACGCAGGTTGAGGAAGTTACTCGTTTACCCTGGAATTTATAGAACATCAATTAGTTGTTCCTTCGGGCTCTCTAGAGGTACTGTACAAACCTTGGTTTGTTATAATGTATTTATGAAGTTCTTGCATAATCTTAAGATCAGAAATTGTTCCTTTTTCTGTGCATGCCCTATTATTATGTGATGTTGCAATTCTATTGTTAGCTTTGAGGGTGGAACTGATTAGTTGACATTGGTCTAGGGCACGACTGAATGATAGTTATCACTTAAGGGAAATCACCATTCTCAATGTATCCTAATGTGGTTGGTTTAGAAGGTCACTTGTGCTTGGACTGTGGTTGATACTTTTTAAGATGGTAGGATGGACTTTCTTTTCAATTTTATTATTTACATTTTTCGTGGTGGTTGATGAAATGGAAAGGAGCTGTCATCTGGGCTAATATATGGCAAGGTGTGATGGAGGGGGGAACATTTTTTAACTCTGAAATAACGTTTGTATGCATCCTATTTAATTAATTCTATCTAGGTAGTATAATGTTGAGCTGCAGTTTTTTTTTTTTTTTAAAGAAATAGAAGATAGCCATTCGTCTTTACCCTGCAATTTATGGAGAACAAAAATATGGGATGATATACGATATTCTCACAATTAACTTGTAATAAATACGCTTATGACATAAGGTGTTTCTCTATAATATGCATCCTTCACATTTCCCAAAGTTCCATATTTTATTTTGTTTGCTGGTTCTGATATGGTGGAAAGTTGTTGCTTTTCTGTGGATTATTTATCACAAGTCTTAGAGTAATTATTTGGAAGACATATATTATCAATCAATTTTGTCTTAAAACTGGATTAATATCATTCTTGAGGCAGTAAGTGGTAAGGTGTAGTTCAAGTTGATGTGATGAAAGTTTTGCTACGTGTCATGGTTGATATCTGCAGTACCCAGACCGTTTGTTATTGAAATTTTTTAATGCTGTTTTTCTAATGTACAGATAGAATGTAACATATATATAACTATCAATTGAGCTTTATAAACATTTTTACACAGATTTATGAAAGCTTTGACAAAATTGATGTGGTTCTTGTCTAAACTTTGTGTGCCTGTGGCTATTATGTAATCTGTCACATGGTATAAACATAATTGCACTTGATGGTGCGTGCTTGTGAGGTGGGATGCAATGCAAATCATTCAAACTCAAATATGATCAATTTCTAGTTACCTCTTCCCAAACAGGCAAAGTCCTCTGATGAAAAACTCTTAGTAATGACCTTACCTGCCAAGGGTACAAATGACTGTAATGACACTTATCGTGATTGTTCTGCTATAACTATGAATGTAAGGGTGAACCAAGATGATTTTGTGATGATTTGCATAGAAGTTTTTGAATGGCAGAATGCTGCTTAATTTGTGCAGTTTTGATTTTTATTCACTAGTTGATCATTCTTTTTTAATTCTAACGTTTTGCCTGTTGCTGTTGGGATGAGGTGCAATCCATTCTCGTGTGATGCCATACCTGGTTTATTACGTTCATTCTTCCTAGCATGTCAACGTACCACGATGGAGGGGTGTAGTTAGCGCAGGTTGCTGACTGGCAGTTGTGCATGATTGTCATAATTTTTAGTCAGTCAATTAATGTATTTGCTATATTTCCGCAATCCACGCCAATAATTAGAGGGGACATTTATGTTTGTTCTAGAGCCCGCCATCAAGCTTTGTGGGTTTTGTTTTAGACAAGGAAAATAGATGACTTGTTTTTGCTTCTATAAATGCGTTCAATCTGAGAATATCAAACTACGTTATAAAATTTTAGCGCTCTCTGTAGAGGCCATGCCAATCAAGCTTTGATTAATGAGACTCGACTCGTGTAGGTGGTTCTGGGGAAAACATTTGTTTAATTAGTGTTAACAAGAATAAATGCCTCATGCATGCTGAACTGAGCAACCCATAAATAAATGGACAAGCCATACGAATTGAACGTACAACAGCTGGAGAATTATATTTTGAGATGCCAATGTAACCTTGGAATGAATGCAGCGGGTGAGATGTCACTTATGTCGATCTTGCAAGGCTGCTGAACACTTGGGTCAAATTTGTAACCCAACTAAGGTTTGGGCTGGCCTGAAAAGCCCAAAGAAGGCACCAGTTCATTTCTTTTGCAGGGGTGTTTCATCTGTACAAAATCACATAGAAAATGTAGACCGTTTAGTCATTTATTTGATGTTCCTTCACAACGCATCATGCCTTTCAAGGAATCTGCATACTTAAAAAATGGTAGTATCGGAGCAAAATCCAGGCCTTAAAAATGTGAAAGCATCAGTAGCTTCAAGAAAAGGTTTACATCAGAAGTGATATATTCTGCTTGATAAATGTAACATTTTCTATAGAACAATTTTCACCAAAGCTCGAGGCATTAATATATGAAAGCATCGCTAGTAGCATTTTAATTCAGTTGTGTACTTTTGGGGCAATATTCTCCACAGCCAGCAATTAAATTTATAATGTCTTTCTTTAACGACCATTGATTACAATTGTGACGACTTGTGTTATTCTAATTGAATTTAGGTATAATTTGATTCTTACTCAATATTACTCAAAAGTCACGTTTTGAACATCAAACAAAATATCCATAAGTTATCATTAATCCCCAAAAGGCAAAACATATAACAATCATATCATTTATCAATTTTTCACTCTCCACTAAGGCTGTTCAAAATTCAAATTGATTATACTAAAACAAACTGACATAAAATGATTAAAACCGATTATAAATAAATTTTAGCAAAAAAATCAATTGAATCGATTTAATTTAAGTTCTTGTCTCTTGAAACTTGAACTAAATTAAACTAAGCCTTATCCTATCTATTTATATATTTTTATAAATTTGTCTAAAAATTTCTCTATCCAAAAATTAATTATCTATAAATTACTAGTTTAAAATATGTTACAGTTAGTTAAATATTATCTATAATTTTTGTGATAATTTTTTAATTTTATAATCAAGTGTTTTAAGGATAATATATTAGTTTTTAATAGTCAAGTGTGCTAAATAATTGTTAAAAACTATTTTTCTCTAAGTTTTTTTTTTGAAAATACTAATAATAGTTTAAAAATAATAGTAAATATTCCCACACATATATATTGATTATTAAAAATATCTCAAAAAAAAAAAACTGAAACTTAATTCAAACCCAAATTAAACAGAATCAAATTGCTTAACAACCAAACCAAACCAAATGGATTAGAAGAAAAAATTGAATAAGCCCCAAATTTTGATGAACATATTTGCTTGGTTCGGGCTTTTTTTTCTCAGAACGTATAAACCTAAAACACCCTTACCTCTCCCCACCCTCCCTCTACTGCTCCACTCCACCAGCCCACCCCAAACGACCGAACCACCATCGGTGCTGGGACTGCGCCCACAAATTAATTTATATATCAAATCTTAGAAACATTTAAGAAGTTTTGTTTTTTTTAACCGAAACTTAAGTAACGATTAAAATTATTAGAAGTTCCTATAATAATTATGAAGATTATTTATTACATGACATTTTTTTTGAAAAAAAAAGAAAATTCGGAATCAATCCATGTGTACAGAAAAACGAGGATAATAAAACGAAATACCTCCTGGGTCGGGCTGGATCACCATAGATAGAATACTCTGTGCAATATGCAGCCCGGTTATGAAGCTCGACCGGTCCAAGTTTTGTCTTTCGACGGAATCAGCTTGAATCACTTAGACATAGTTCATCCCTATCGGAAGGCCTCCAAAACTGTACCATCGTCCTGTTCCGATCATATCCTTTTACCAATCCTGTTCCTGCCTCAGTTTTGACTGTGAAAATCACACTTTGACATGCAATGATAAGGAGAAATAGCTACAAGACACGTGAAATGATTCACAATTAAGATGCAATAATGCCCGCCGTTGGTACCGATTTGCCACATACATCATCATAATATGGTCTTGCTCAGCACGAAAGTAACCAGAGTAAGTTCAAGAAAAAATATCGTGTTGACAAGGGACCGGTCAACTACCCATCCAAATATAGTGATTCCTCCAGGATTCGTTTGTAAATACATCACTGCATATCAAGAGTACAATATATGAGGCCTCTTACAAAATATTGGCAACCTCCAACTACGCTACAGAAGAGAATTTACCAACTTCAAAATAGATGATATAATATAGGCAAGTCTGATAGAAGATCAAGCATGACATCGTAAAAGAAACTTTCGCGAAGGAGGTAAAAGATCAGAATAGTACTTTTGCGACCCTGAGTACGTATGGGGGTAGTAAAATTATCAAGCAATTAGCTTTTGCGATATTAATCTTCACTGCTTGGGTGTTTGTATAAACGTGTCAGTTAAGTCACCGATTAAAACAACTGACTTGTATAAGCAAACACTACGGAGACAGGCTGTGGTTTAGTTACGTACCAAAGGCTTGTCTCTTGTGATGCGAGGACATGTAAGAAGCCAGTTGGCTATTCGTAGGCATCACGTTGAATTCCAAGGATTCTAGATCACTTTCAGAGGAATTAAAATTTAAAGAATTCAAATGGTTTGCTGTCTCTAAGCTACCGGTACTAGCATAACTTCTCAATTGAGACGCATCGGGAGTGGCGCATGTGGCTAGAGCATGCCATCTGCTCGCAAGTGAAACAATGTTTTGAGCTCTGTGAGAAATCCTTGTTGCTGCATGCAGACAAATAATGATTCCGACCACCTGAACGAGTGTAGAAACCTGAAAGAATGGCCGTTTTCGTATAAACCGTAGGTTGAAAGTTCTAAATCTCAATCAAAATGGCTAAAGTATGGCTGGTTAAAATAACAAAAATGGGAAGTTCTTCAAACTACATGGAGTATGATGGGGATATTAAAGCTTGAACTTACAGCAAAATCTCCACCATTTGCAAAAGTAATTATTCCACTATATGCTGTGACCTGTATCAGAGTGACAATTTGGCTAACTGTAACAACCAAGAACCCTAGAAGAAGATAGATTCTAAACCTGTGGCTTATCTTGGAGAGATGATAGCGTAATCGAATGTGCTCTTCCATGAAAATGAGCACATTAGAATCCCTTTGTATGAGCTTCCCGTAATCATCGAAGTGGATAACTTGCAAATTGCAGATCAAGTGAAACAAAGTGCTGGCTAATAGGGAGATCGTACACACATAAGTCCAGGATATGATCGAAGCTACTGAAACAGCAAACGAAGGCCACCATGACTCATGATTTACGTGCGAAAGGCGAATGATTTCTCGAATAGTCTTCAGAAAGAAACATGTCGATCCCCACAGAGCAAACAACCGAAAGACTCCTAAGGCCAGAGAAAGAATTTTTAGCATCGCCTGACAAACTCGGAAACAAAAGAGGGGCATCCAAGTGAAAGAGAACTAGAAATTGAACTCTGGTTTGTACTATATCTAGTACTCCAAGAACACGAAATCAAAAAATTGATATTCACATGATTTGGCAATATGTTAAGCAAACAAACTGGGTGACATTTAGTTGACCAAAATCTGACAGCGACACATCTTCAAGTCGCAGGCATACTAACATATCACAGAACAAGGGATGATCGACTATCGGAATCTAACTTATGCTTCTTCAAATATTGAAAGTTCATTTTGAATTCATCAATTGAAATAATCCAATTGATGAATTATGTTAACAATTTAAGTAATTTTAAGCAATTGATAGAGTATTTCAATTGATGAAATACTCCAACAAAGCGAGGAACTCATGCCATACATCAATTGTTCGCAACGCTATTATTAGCTACTGAATGATGTTAACAATTTAAATAATTTCAAGCAATATCGTTACACCTCCGCTTGAGACGATGAACAAGAAAATTCAAGATTCCACATAAATTGGCCACACGCAACTAGCAAACAGCTTAGAGGCTTGAATTTGCTCACCAAAACCTGCTTGACGTAACGTTCGTGCAAGCTCATCAGTTTTCCACTGTACCGATCAACAAAGAGGAACCTCCTTAGACCATACTTGCGCAGATTGTGAGAGAGACAGAGCAAGGAGACGGCAGCGAGACACGCCTGAAAAGCAATTATTTCTATCTCGAAGTCCTTCCTTTGATAACCCTCGCAGTCGGAACAGTCGCCGAACAAAAGCGCCACTAGCGGAACTACCACGCCGATCACCATGAAAGAGGTCCAAGACAGAGCCAAGTTCAACGACGACGATTGCTCGCATCCAAGCAATGCGAGAAACGTTTCTATCCGGCGAAGCATCTGATCCAGCTGAGTCTCCTCCGGTTCGTCATGATCATCTCCTTGCCTCAGGCGGCCTTGTCCTGCTTCGACGTCGTTTCGATCTGAATTTGAGGTGACCAAGGGAGTTTGAGCATGAGATTGCTCTGCTCGTAGAAGGAGATTGGAATTGGAAGCCATGGATTTACTGTGTTTAAGGCATTTCCAAATCAATCAGTGATTCGGAGGAACTCTTGAGATGGCTTGGATTGATCGTTTATAGATATTTTCAAGGTCAAAAGCGACCAGAATTCACTAAACTGATAGATTTCCTTTCCCTTGCTTGCGTCTCTTGAACGATAATATGAACAAACCCAGCGTAGTGAGAACGTCTATTCATTAAATGGCAAGAAATTAATTATAAGATGAACCGGATTTTCCAATCAGAAAAAAAAAAGAATATATATGATCGCATATTTTTCTTTTTATGTGACGAAGTGTGGCACTTTTAATAAGATTCTATTGACCATTGTCTGAAATATTTTTTTAAAATGAGACGTGATTTTATTAAAAAATTAAATATTATTAATTATAATTTATAAATAATAATTTAGAAAACTTTTTTTTTTTAAAAATAGTTATCTTTTCCTGATTCCAAAATTGTGATAGAAAGATGGAAAAAGTGACTTGGCGACGTAGGGAATTGGGCATACGCCCTTTCCCAACTTTTCTGGGAAATGCAGCGACTGGAAATTATATATACTGCAAAAGCGCGCACACAACGAAAGATACATTTGTAGTTTGCTTTGTCTTATCGAGTGAACTGAATATCTTGAATTTTTTTTTTTCATTATTGGTATAATCTGGAACTTAATTTAAGTGAATTAATGCTTCCCATCTTAATGGTAAGATATTATTACCTAATTCACGTATATTAAAAAATAAGTTGGTTATTTAATTTAATTTGTTAAAAATTTGTCTTATATTTTTTTTAATATCACTCCTTTTTAACTAGACTAAGCAAATCTAATTCAATCAATTTATTAGTAATCAATACATAGAGGTAAATAAATGAGAGGAAAAAGACAAATCTTACAAATAAGATCAAAATAAAACCAAAGCTAACTCTTGTAAATATATTAAATAGGACTCAATGAATTTGACCAAAAAAATAGGACTCGAAGAGAGAAGTAAAGGGAAATTATTCCAAAAGACCAAATTCAAAAGTTTTTTTTTAAATATCTTTTCACATAGAAGGACCTTGATCTTTTATAATAATTTTAAAAATTCAAGATTTTAAGAATAAAAATATTTTAAAGATGGTCTTAATATGATGCTAAGATAGAGGAAAGAGAGAGAAAATAAAACATTTTTTAGAAAATTTTTTTTGATAGATCAAGTGTACCACGTCATTTATGGTTTGTTCAATTAGAATGCTTCAATTCATCTAAATAAAATCTTAAATGACATTATTTTAATTAATTTATTCATATAATAGAATTCATAATTTATTTATTGCCTTTTCTCTCTCTATTTTCATTAATATCAGAATTAATTTATATTTAATACCATATAAATATCATATTTTTATTAGATAGATCACAAATAATGTGACATACTTAATCTACCTAAAAATTTCTCCCTTTTTAGCCAAAAACATACGTGTGAAAACAGATACACAGAGACAAATACGTGGAGACAGAAGCAAGGGCATGATATGCCTTCATCCAATTTTTTTTTTTAAGTAAATACCTTTATTTCCCTTCCAATTTGTTAAAATTATATTGACCTTTTTTTTTTTTTGTCCCCAGAAACCTATGCCTTAGGTTTGGCTTGGCTGGGAGATTTTTCATAAGGAGGAAAGAAGAGAAATAAAAGTTGCTTGGTTGGAAAAATTGAACGGAGGGGAGGCAAATTTTCTCTCACTCCTCTCCTCCCTTCTTTATATTTATTAATTTATCTTTTTAAAATTCAAATATATAATGATGAAGATTAATGAAGATGATTAGAATTTTAAGTTTCATTATCATATTATAGGGCCTTTTGTGTTTGATTGGATCGTGCAATTTTAAACTTCAGAACATTTATATTTGATCATTTAGATTTGAATTGTGCAAGCCAGACTTCAACCATAATAAGCAAAACCCATAAAATCTGCGTCCAATTATTTTCAGACCAGCCTGTTTCCTAGCTCTTGCTCTAAAAGAATTACATGGGGTCCTCTTTGCTCAATCTCAGCGGTCAAAACTCAACCACCATGGCAACACTTGTAGCACCACAGGTAAATGACTTCAACATGGGGGAAAAATATCTGACGGAAAATAAGGAAAGAAATAGACCAGTCCGGATTACACCCGACAAAGAAATTAAAATAAGTATAATTACGAGATGGGTGAAAATGACTGCAATTATATGAAAATAGCTAACTATAAGATATATATCGTCCTCCCTCAATTGGAAGTTTAAAATTCGGCAGGCATACGCAATAGCTAACCAGCAACCACCATATCATCCAAAAGGCATTTAAAAACAGAAAACTCACCAAATTCCGAAGTGACCTTTTATAACGTTTATCTCGGGAAACCAATCAGGAAAACAAATAATTTTCTTTATTTTCCCTCAGAACATATTTGTAATGATGGTTCATCTTCATCCTCGTCGTGCTCATTGCTTCCCTTAAAACGCGTCAACAGTGTATCATTTTTGTCTTATAGTTAACAGCGATATTAACTAATTATATATTGATAGTAACTTTCATAGGCAAAGTGAAATTTGCATTTTTCTAGAGAGGATTTATTGTCTTTCCTTTTGCAATGATCGGTCCAATCGTCTGACCTTTTCATTTCCAATTGCTTCAAAGGGGCCAAGCCTGTGAAAATGCAATGCTTCCTGATATCAGTTCAAATTAACCGTCCCCAGTTCACCTGCAAATGTGCTCCCTCGTGGTTTCATGTACTTGAAAAAAGGACTTACAGATCATTTCTCTGATTTCTCCTTCATTGCATGCTCTTCAAGGGGTCTAAAAGAATCACACACACTTCTTCAGCCACTTGAATCAATGCACCCAAGCAGCATCAAGCCACTAATGCGTACAGAGCAGAATCTTCCAAGGTTTGCTGGAGATAGTTGCTTGAGGATGACAGACATGACGGAGCACAGAACTGGATTAACCAAATGTCAGATCATGCTGGTTCAATATACCAGCTACTCTGTCACTCTAAAATTATCAAACTGCCAATCATGTCAAGATCACCACCATCTCCTCATGTGTATATGGGTAGTCATTTCTTGCCTTTGCGAGCAAGAAACCGTTCTCTAGCAGCTTGGATTTGGCTTTTACGGTCATCAGGAATAGCGGCAACATTGGCACCCTTCTTGGGCAAATCTGGAGCTTTTTCCTCGGGTTCCTCATCAATGTGACCAAGTCCACCACTGCTTCACATAAAGGATTACAAAATAGAATCGACAATGAGTATGGTCCTTCAGAAAAGGAACCAAAAACAGTCACATGCAAAACCTGTCCATTTTCTTAGAAAGGTTGCAATCTTAACAAACAGACTAGGAAAAACATAACTTTGTATTTTTGCACTTTGTTTGCATTTTACTATTGGTCTTTACACTTTTTTTCCTCCCAATATTTTAAGTCCCTACACTTTTATTTTTTGATACTCTAAGTCCCTACACTTTGTTCATAGAAGGACCTAAAACATTGAAAAATAAAAATATAGAGACCTAGAATATTGAAAAAAAAGTGCAAGCACTAATAGCAAAATGCAAGTAAAGTGCAAAGATCTAAAATTATGTTTTCCCAACAAACTAACCTCAATTTGTGGACATCTAGGGTCCCAAGCTTGTTGATAATTGGCATAACCCATCTCATCTCAACAGAACACACGTTTCTCATGTATGGACGTGGAGTTGCAATCAGTTCATGGTACACAACATAGTCTGGGAACTTTCCCAGTTCGTCTGGTTTAAGCACAGAGGATGGATGCACCTACAATAAAAGTTTTGGGTCATTAATTTAATGTGGCTATGAATTCACTATTTAGTCAACAATTACCCAAAAAAAAAAAAGGGATACCGGTTCACCTAGTGGGGTTTGATTATGAGAATATGGAGTTTAAGGGCAGTTCTTTAAGAAGAAATAACATCAACAGAATTAGATCATCTACCAAAGAAAAACAACTGACACATATCACAGTAAGCGACATGTATTAATACCTGAACTACTTGGGCTTTAAACCCCAGAGTTCGATAACCATTATGATGAATCTTCCTTTCAGCCAGCTGATTTGCAAAGCCTACACACAAAGCCTTCCTCAAATTTTTATAACCCTGCTTCTCTTCACTTTTTCCATGTGCTCGTACATCCAGGGGTCCTATTGCAGAACAATATCAACAGGTAAAAAGCAATTGCTAACAAGACAGCATGGTAAATAGTTGAGGGATTCACTAAGTTTGAATAAAAAAAGGGAGGGGGAAAGGATAAAAGGACAAAAAGAGAGTACAGCTACAACCACCAAAACCTTGAGCATTTCTTCTTTCGTTTCTTCCCTACTTTCACAAGGAAATAAATTTCATTTGCAACTGCTTGTTAAGATTAAAAAAGACATAGTGGATTTGCAAAGAAAAAAGTTGAAGCGGAGGGATCTGATAGTTTTCTGAGTTCTGACGTTTAAGTCAAGACATGGGAATAAATATGCTGCGAACTGCTCAAGCAAAAATACATCCATTGACAAGCAATAACAAAAAGGTTCTAGTAAAATTAATCAAGAATTTAGACTACAAACCCTTAGCTATTTTCTGCATTATCTGGGATAACTGTTTACGAATGTCTTTGACAAACAACATCCCTCGCACCTGCAATCAGTTAATTCTGATAATTATAAAAAAATTTGTTGCAAGGAAACATATCTAAACTGTGTTTCTTCTTTAATGGGAAGGATTTTGCTCAAGAGAGCTTGACCTCCTAAACGGTCACGCTACCACTGTTTGACATCTCAAAATGAACGATTATGTTATACATTTTGGGGATCTAACAGCAGAAGAGCTCAACCTCATTTCCATTGCATTCCCCTAATGAATTCTGGATATGTACTCTCATGAAGTACTTACAGAAGAATCTCTGAGAAATGCGATATATTTTTCCCCCTTTTAAATGCTACTATCATCTTTATTGAACAAGTGAAATATAACATACACAGCTAGAATCCATTAAAGGTACCTGCAAATCATTGTCTTTACACCAACCAATGTCATAATCACTCTGATCCCAGCGCTCAAAGATCTGCAGCAACTGAATGTGGTCGCCGAAACCTGAACCATCAGGAAGGTTGGACATGGTGTGTTTCCTCTTTTTCTCGGTCTTACTGAACATACAAGGAAAGATACGAAAGCTAAGTTACTTAATCCTTATTAATACATAATTGAATAAATCATAGAACCAGAGGGATACACACTAGATTTTTCTCAC